GTGAGTGGGGTGTTGAGGTCCCCTACTATTATTGTGTTGTTTTTAACATCTACCTTTAGGTCTGTTAATAGTTGCTTTATGAATCTTGGTGCTCCTGTGTTGGGTGCATAGATATTTATAAGCGTTATTTCTTCTTGATGAAGTGTTCCTTTGATCATTATATATTGTCCTTCTGTCTCTCTCTTTACCTGTCTTATTCTGAAATCCACCTGGTCTGATATGAGAATTGCAACACCTGCCTTTTTTTCCTTGCTATTTGCTTGAAGTATTGTCCTCCACCCCTTCACCCTGAGCCTGTGTTTGTCCTTGGGGCTGAAGTGTGTTTCCTGGAGGCAACAAATTGCTGGATCTTGTTCTCTAATCCATTTTGCCACTCTGTGTCTTTTTATTGGAGAGTTCAATCTGTTCACATTGAGAGTGATTATTGATGCATGTGGACTTAATGCTGTCAATCTGTCACTTATTATCTTGTTTTCCTGTGTTTCTTTTCCTGTGTGCTTTAGACTACCCATTTAATACTGCAATTTCTTATGCTGGGTTTCTCATATTTTTCCTTATTTATGATTTGTGACTCTGTTCTGTACTTTATTTTAGTGTCTATCTTGAAGTTTGTATTTAGAATCTCGTGTATAATATAGTCTATTCTCTGGTGGTCTCTTACTTACTTGACCAATACTGATTTAGACCCTTTGCTCTTCCCCTCCTAAATAATTATTTTCATTTCTTATTCGAACTCGTCTTATGAATTTGTAGTTAGAGTGCTAAGATCGTCCTTGTTTTGGTAGTGTCCTTATTTTTACCCTAATGCTATAGTTGAATATTTGCTATCCTGTTCTGGTTCTATCCATCGGTCTCCCTAGTCTGTGGATTGTGTCCCCTTTCTCCCTTTTTTCTTTTTTCAGGTATGAGAGCCTTCTTAAGGATTTCTTGTAGTGGAGGGCTTTTAGTTACAAATTCCCTTAACTTTTGTTTGTCTGGAAAAGATTCAATTTCTCCCTCATATCTGAAGGAAATTCTTGCTGGATAGAGTATTCTTGGATGAAGATTTTTATCTTTTAAAGCTTTGAATATGTCACTCCATTCTCTCCTAGCTTGTAAGGTTTCTGTAGAGAAATCTGCTGACAGTCTGATAGGGGTTCCTTTATAGGTTATTCTCTTTTTTTTTCTTACTTCCCTGAGTATTCTTTCCTTATCTTTCCTTTTTGCCAATTTTACTACTATGTGCCTTGCAGTAGGTCTTTTTACATTGACAAATCTAGGAGATCTGAAACCCTCCTCTACACACATTTCTCCGTCAATCCCTAGATTTGGGAAGTTCTCTTCAATAATTTCATTAAGTACACTTTCTGCTCCATTTTCCTTTTCCACATTCTCGGGAATTCCTATGATCCTTATGTTCTTACTCCTCATTGAATCCATTACCTCTCGGAGATTTTCCTCATTTTTTTTTAAATTCTTAGTTCTCTTTCTTCCTCTATCTGGAGCCATTCAGCCTGTCTATCTTCAATTATGTTAATTTGCTCTTCTATGGTGTCTACACGGGCATTCAGGGAATCCATATTCTGTTTTATCTGGTCCATTGTGTTTTTCACCTCTAGTAATTCTGTTTGATTCTTCTTTATGATTTCAATCTCTTTTGTGAAGTAACTCTAGAACTCAGCTTGTTTCTCTATCTTTCTCTCTACCTCATTGAGTTTTTTGATTATAGCTGCTCTGAACTCATTATCACTTAGTTTACCTAAGTCCAAGTCCTCAGGACTTAATTCTATGTTTTTATCGTTTTCCTTCTGGTCTGAGGCTTTTATAAATTGCTGGATGGTAGAGGAGTGGTTTTTTCTCATGGTGGTAGAATTCCGTTGCAGTTACAGCCTGTCGCCACTAGATGGGGGTCGAGAGCGACATGTCAGCTCTCCGCCTTGGGGCAAGATGGCTGCGCCCACTGGCTTTGCAGGGAGGGAGGAGCTGCTACTCTCACGCACCGGTCTGGATTCAGATCATTTCTGTTCTCTGGTCTCCCGCAGCCCTGGGTTTATGGGGTCCCTGTGGACGGAAGCTTCCCCCCCCCCCCCCCCCACCGTCAGTGGGTCTCCACTGAATCAGTGGCAGGAGTCCTGCATGATCCCTGGTCGTGCGGCCCCTCCCCCGCTCCTTCCCGACCCGCGCCACAGCAATCGCAGACTCTAGGGGAGGGAGCGATGTTCTCTCCTACCGTTCCAGCGCCTCCGAGGCTGTAAGTAGGGTTTATGATCTCCGCTTTCTTGGTATTGTAGGTCTCTAACGTGCTGGCATTAAGTTTATTTTCTGAAATTCAGTTTTTCCAATCCTTTGTTGTATTTTGGAGGGGAGAGAATCCTGGGTCAGCTCACCCTGCCATTTTGCTCCGCCCCTTCCTTGCTCAATGTTTTAATAATGATTATGTGTTTTTAAATTAGGCTATTTCCCTGTACACTTATATTTGCACTTTTGTGATGTATGTGTTATGCATCAACAAAAAGTTACTTTTAAAACTAAGTTATTTCCATTTCTTTTAAGAAAAAAGATAGCTGAGCAAACGCAAACAATACAGAACATACCAAATACTGTAAAGGACAAAGAGAGTTAGAAATTTAGCTCTTCCAAATAAATCCAAAAAGTATTCAGCCGTCAGGGGCACCAGAAGCAGGTCACATCCCAGAACGAGTCTAAACACGTCTAAGGTGGCACCAAAGGGCTTCCATACTCAGCCTCTCCCTGCCTCTCTTACAACATCTATCACCACAACAATCCACCTTGCACATATCACTCCAGCGGCAATTACAGCCCACTGTTTCCCACACAACTCATGCTGTTTCCAAGCCTCTGCCACACCCTTCCACCCCAGGCTTTTCTCCAAACTCCCTCTGCCCCTTGCCTCTTCGCCTTACCACGTAGGCATCCCCCAAAACTCAGCCAGGGCCATCGGCTCCAAGACACCTTTGAGGTCAGCTCGTCCTCTGCCCCAGGCTCAGCTAAGGGTCCCTCCGTCACATTGAAGGGGCCATCAGATTGAACGCCATACTGAAGTCATCTGTTTAAGGGGTCTAGCTTGCAAGCCCCTTGAGGGAAAGAATGCTGCATGGTTTATTTTTGTAGACCCAGCAACACGTGTGGCATGAGGCACATCACAGCCCCCATCAACGTCTGCAGAGCTCAAGAGCAGCTGAAGGGCTCAGGAAAACCTGAATTCCTCCCTTTCCTAAGGACACACTGACACCTCCATCCTGCACTAGAGCCATAGCGCCTAGGGTCCGTGAGCTTTTCCAGGGCCCACGAAAACGGGTGAGAGCTGAAAAAAAACCTTACTGCTCCAGAATACGGAAATTTTTTTAAATCAAAATTAATATTTAATTAAATATCTACAACACATAACATTTCAACAGCAACCCAACTCTATTCGTAATTACATATGTTAGATTTACTATAGGCTATGGGTACATTTTACATGATATAGGGTGGGGATTTGAAAAGCAACAGTGCCCAGGGCTTGGGAAGCTCTGTAAACCTGCCTGCCTAAAAAACCTGTTCTGGCAGGTACCTTACTCAGCTGGTTTGGGAGACTGAAGAAAAATCCAAATCCAAAGCAAACCAAGACTCTTAAAAACAAATGAACAAAACAAACACAAAATCCACGTAGGAACCTCCTCACATGGAGCTCCCAGGTCCCTGACAGGTAACTACTGTATCACCAGAGCCAAGAATGGGTGCAGCCCAGCGCCCCTCCTCTGGACCAGAATTCTTGAACTTACAGGGCAGGTCGGGGCTGCTTTTTCTGGACCAGGCTCCAGCAGGGTGAACAGGGAAGGTGGAAATTCAGCAAGGAATGGTCAAGGAAAGCCAAGACAAGCTGCATGCTAGGTTCCCTGAGGGCCCCACTGCTCTCCTTCTCAAGTGGTTCCTCCCCCCATGGCAAAGTTCCCAGCCGGAGAGCTGTAAACCAGCTGGGGTGAGCTCCTGAGGAGGAAAACAGGCACAGCACATAAGAGCTCAGAGCCCAGCATCATGATACTCACAAAATACTCGACTATTGACTTTAGATTGATCTTTATCAGCTCAAAAAAAAAAGTACAGGGGCCAGGGCAGTGGCGTGTGCAGTGGTTAATTTCACATGCTCTGCTTCAGCGACCCAGGGTTTGCCAGTTTGGATCCTGGCTCGTCAAGCCATGCTGTGGTGGTATCACACACAGAAGAACTAGAAAGACTTACAACTAGGATGTGCAACCATGCACTGGGGCTTTAAGGAGAAAAAAAAGAGGAAGATTGGCAACAGATGTTAGCTCAGGGCCAATCTTCCTCACAAACACACAAAAGTAACTACAGCTGATTCTGGTTATTCAAAGAGGATGTGGTTTACAAAGTGGTTGTGAACACTGAGCCACTGCTCCTGGGGAAATACAGGGTTAGGTTCTGGTGAGCCTCTGGTGCCTCTGTTCACAACATTTTCATCAGCCGATCAATACATAACCTTGTTTATGTGTGTTTCTGTTTAAAGACACCTTGTTTAATACGTATTGTTGATTCATTAACACTGAACTCACAGCCAACAGCATTATAAGTCAAACCTGAGCAAAGCTTATCTAAACACATATTTTCTCCATGAGGCACACACAGCCTTCGTGCACTTAGGAAAACGAGACAGAACTTCAGCACTGCGCTTGGGGGTTGTCTTAAACAGGGAAATCACCAACAAAAAGCACAAAAATGTGGAAAGCGTGGTACCAAACAGAGCACAAACCGGACACGTGTTTACGGTCTGAGAGCTGAAACAAGAAGGCAGCAAGTCGTCTTGTTTGACCGCAGCTGAGAACGTGAACTTTGTTGATTCAAATTTTTCACTGCTCTGCACATGTCGGGGAATAACTGAGAAAGTGCCCTGAGATTGCTTTAGGGGTTACAGATAAATTTCAGTGAGCAGGCAAATTTGCAAATGCAGAATCTGCAAATAATGAGGATTGACTGTATTACCAAAGAAAAAGTACATGTACCTTCCAGTATTTGAAGAAAGCATGCTCTTGATCCTCTTGCAAAAGAATGGAATCCAAATAACCTAAGCATTAGAAGCTTTAGGTGTAGACAGGCACTCGCCACTGGGCAGTTAAGACGGAGAAGATTCTATAACCACAGGGCCAGCTGGCCTTCCTTCCTGCAAGAGGCAGGCTTCCGAGAAGTGGCAGATGTGACCTGAAATTTAACGGACTCCCAGGATCAGTCATTTTGAACAACTGAAATATTTTGTAACGTTATATCTACTCCCTAAATTTAAGTACTATAAAATCAAAATGCCATATATCAGGTTTTCTTTAAAGCTTGTCTTACCCATATGAAAAAGGCACAACTTTCAAAAAAGCAATGTTCTAACCACACACAAAATTTATATATGTGTATATTACACTAAATACTTAATTTTCCTATATGTTTAGGAACTAATATTACATGGCAAAGAGTCCATTTGCCTTCCTTTTGAAACAAATCAATAAAAAGAGGACAAAAAATACAGCTTATTGTTCTCTTATGTGAGGAAACTAAACTGATATAGATGATTGTGTTTAAAAGTAGGAAAAAGAAGAGTTCCGCTAAGACACAAATCACTGACTGTGCAAATGATTCTAAAATTGCACCTTAATGATTTGGGAGTAGATAATCCTATCTACTGCTAACTAGCATCTGAATATGTCATTTTACCCAAAAAAGCGGGAAGGTGAAAAACTTACATTCTTTTTATTACTCTTCTTGGAAACACTGAGCGCCTAGCATACTGCTGAGTAGATGAAGGATACATGTTTACCTTTCAAAGAGAACTTAACCTCAGAAAATTACTAACTTCATACAAAATTACAATTTAACTAAACTTCATAAGAATGACAAATTACAATCAGGTCACATTTAAAGACTATGACTAAAAGTGAAATGATAATTCCACTTTATTCTGGCCTACTTCAAAAGCATAATATTTTTTTTAAAACTTTTAGATAGAGAACAAAATTCTATGTTGAAAGTAAATCTCGGTAAAAACGAAATACCAAAAACTGGTCATTATAATTAAAAGAAAAAAAGTTAACAGGAATTTGCTTTAAATTTTTTCAACTGAGTATACATTTATAGACTAGGACCATGTAAGGATTAAATAAACATTTGAAAACCTGTTGGCCTTTCTCTTCCAAATGTTTAGTTACATAATTCAAATCAAAGCCCTAATACATATATTAGAAAATCAGTTTATTCTTCTTTCACTGACATAAAACTTTTGAGGAAGACATTTTCAATGTATTAACTTATGAATGATTTTAAAATCTTTGACCTCAACCATTTTTAGATAGGTTATAAAAACAGTCTTCCACCCTAGGTATTTAGATAACACAGGAGATGCAAAATAAACATTAGCTAACTCTGACACCCTCACAAGTGTGACTTCTGTAACTGCTTCATTACATAATGACATCAGCAGCTGGCCTTTCCTGAGGAAGAGCCATAGTCACTTCTAATAAATAAACCGTTGATTGCTATTCACCTTGAGTGCACCACCCACTGACAAATCAACACCCACAATCCCACAGACCTGTCTTTGTGACCTTCATTTTGGGGCAAATACACAAAGTCATAATTTGTTTTCTCTACTCAAGGTAGGTAAGACTCTGAGAGCTCTAACTATTCTGGACAGTTGAGTTTTCCAAAGGGTTAGAGACTTAACCATTTGGAAAGAATATTTCATACGCTTTCCTTCTTAAACATGGTATAAATTCGATTTACTGACTATAAATTCTATTTTTCTTGATTCACAATCACCAGTGAGAATATTAATCCTTTTACGGTGTGTTGGAAGACAATTCTCCATGGGTCTCTTGTCCTTCTGCATGACTTATGAGCAGAGGCACTGGCTGCTTTCGCTCTGAACTATCTTTTCAAGGATGTGTGTACAGCAAACAGCCTGGGAAGACAGATATGATCTCCCTCCAGACTAGAGGGCAGGTTTGCTTACTCTCCTGTTTAATAAATGTAAAGACTCCCTCTGGGCTAAGGTTGGGCAGCTTTGCTCACAGCCCTTTATGAAACATTTGGATTACCTAAACTCAGGGTTCCACAGCTGCGGACTTATGGGGCAAGAGCAACTGACACAAACATGAAGCTCATGCTGTTGACTATGCTATAATGCAGTCCTTTGTCTCTGACCCAAGAGTCTCATGTCTTCTGCCAGCATCCAGATTGGGATTACCTAAACTCGGGGTTCTTCAGCTGTGACACAAACACACTGCATGGGCAGCATCCATCTGGGTCACTCTGTACTGCCCCTGTGGGACTTATGGGGCAAGAGGAGTTGACACAGACATGAAGCTCATCCTTTTGGCTGTGCTGTAATGCAGTCCTTTGTCTCTGACCCAGGAGTGCTATGTCTCCTGCCAGATTCCAGTAAACCACGACAGGCTGACTTGTCAGCTTTCAAGTAAGATAAAATCTCAGACTCTTCACAGTTCTTGACAGTTGTTGGTGACAAAAATGGGATGCTGGCAGAGACAGGGCTTTCTGGAATAGAAAAGACAAAGGTCCCATGGCTTTAGGGGATGTAAGAAGATTCCCTGGGATCCAGTAGCAAAAGTTCTTGTCCAAGTGGTGGGTTTGGGGGAGTAAGGGTTAATTAACCTTTGAGGATAAGCAGCAAAGGTAGGACTGAAACAAGCTGCCCAAATGTACTATGGTTATTGCTCACTCTCCCTGCGGTGGGAGGAGGAAGGGATGTTACTGTGACAATGAGGCAGCTAGCCCCATGGCCCCAGATGAGAGGCAATGTGACTACAGCTGTTGAGTAAGGGAGTCCGCAGAGCTAAAACAGGTTATGTCAGCAACGAGGATCTAGAGCTTTGGGTGACCAAAAAGTTCATTAAGTTGAGCCATGAAAAGCCACCAGGACACTTGAAACTAAAAGTTAAGTGTGCCTTGCTTACTGGCACAGAGCTGTTCTCCCCGCTCCATGCCCCCTGACCCCTCCCCCCTTACCCTCTTCTCTGACATCGGCTTTAAGAAGGATAATTAGAGGTGAACCAAGGTTTCTTGGTCCTCAAGAGGGAGTGAAGGCCTTATGCACCCAAGCACACTGGGGAACTTCAGAGACAGGAGGAACTCAAACTATTACGGCTCTGTGGACACAGGCACCCAAGTCATCAACCTACCTGCCAGGGGCCGAGGCAGCGTTTGATCGGCTGTTTGACAGGGTCCAGCCGATCAAGAAGAGCCGAGGGGTGCAGGGCACCCCTCCGCAAGAAAATGAAAAGCCGGCCTTCCCCCAAGCTACGCTGAACTTTAAAAACTTGTTTTTCTTCTCTTTGTCTTATACCCCATTTTCCTACTCATGCTGTAATTTTTCCAGATGGCCGCTTTAGAGAAAAAAGCATGCTCCCATCGCGGGGTTGGTACTGAGAAAAATATGTGACCACCTGCACGTAGCCTTCAGGATATCACAAGGGGCAAGTTCCCCCTGACGCACATAAACAGTGGGAGAACTTTCCTCCCTAACGAGGGGTTCATACTAAAGAGAATATCTGGATCAAAGCAGCTGCCTCCTTCTGGTTGATGTTTTGCTCTTCCTCCAGTTTCCCTGATAAGCATAGATATACTTCTTCCTCGGTAGTTAATTAGAATTTTCCTCCATATGTTAGTTATTGAAAAATATATTATTCCCCTCATGTGTCTGGCACATTATAGAAGTCTTTTCTTAATTGCTGAAGTCGCTTTTGTGCAGGAAAAGATAGTTAACCTCTGCCCCCCTAAAAGTTAACTCTGTTCCCTGTAAGATTATACTTATCAATGAATGCTTTGTGGTTTACTCGGCAAGAACATCTGTACTGCTATATTTATCCCCTGCTAAAAAAGATATAAAAATGCTGTGAAAACGAGTAAGACAGACTTGCTTTGTACTTCCTTATCTCTCTGAGAATATTTGTAGAGCTATTTCTGTACTAATCCTGAAAAATATAAAAACGACACTTGTGCACAGTAAAGACGGACTTGATTGCACCGACTCAAGTCTCACGTCCCCTCCTTCACTGCGCCGACTCCGTCTCTCCCTCAGGAACCTGGACTCTGCTGGAGCTGGACTCTGGCACCTACCCACCCGTGTGTGGTGAGGAGGTACTCAGATTCAGCTAATGGGGTTTGGACCTAGATTCACAGTGGGGAAGGAAAATTAATGTGATCTAATGGGTGAGGTCCTTCAGGGCAATTCAAAGTATTGTTGGTTGTTTCTGCAACTGAATGTATAAGTGACATATTATTTATACTCCCCTGTCCATAGTGCCAGAGGAGATTCTCCCCCATCAGGAAGGGATTAGAGGTAGAGAAATGTTAGCAGGACAAGCCCCCCAGCCATTTGTCAGCACTGGGTAGGTCAGGATTTCACGCAAGTGCCCCTACCCTCTGATGTCTAAAGTTTTCAATACATGAAAGATGTCCTGTTGGTTGGCAAGTCAGAAACCTCAGTCTCAAAGGTCTTGAATATGCTGTTATCACACCTCCACCAGCAGAACCCAGGGGTCTACTCGCCAAGTAAAGTTTCTTGGGACTCTGTAGGTGGACTCATAACCCCCACTCCCTTTGGCCATCAAGGAACAACAGCTGTCTCTTCAGCCTCCCACCACCAAAAGGCAGCCCAGCACCTTGTTGGACTCTTTAGGTACTGGAGACAGTGTATTCCTGAGATGGCTTTGTGATGTGTCAGCGTGGCCAGGCTGAACTACAGTCCCCAGAATGTCCTTTCCAGTATGCTTGTCATTACACTGGGCCACAAGGTATATTCTCTCCATAGAGTTAGAGAACAGAAGGGGGCAGTAACCATTTTGAAGCTTACACATTTTGCAGACGTAATTAAATTCATCATCAGCTGACCTTAAGTTAATTAAAAGAGAAATTGTCCTAGGTGGGCCTGACTTAATCACTTAGAAGCCCTCTAGAAGGACATGGCCTTCCCTGAGCCCAGAGACTCCAAACTGCAGCAGGGTCTCCAACTGCTCTGCCTCCCCCTGGATCCTCTCTGCTGACCACCGCCTGGAACCAGCTTCAGCTGGTGTCTGTGGGGTTCAGCCTGCTGCTCCTCGGCCCTTCCTGACTGTCTGCCTGACTCTGGACTGCCAACCTCCACCTCCCCTCCATTATCTGCAGGAGACACGTAGGGAGCAGCAATGAGGCACTCCTACCCCTCCCATACAGAGAGGTATCCCATGGAGGCCTAGTGGGGAGTCACAACTCCTACCCTCACCTCAGGTGTCAACAAGGACTGAATCAGGAATCTGATTCAGGAACCTGAATAAAAAAAGAAAATCAACTGATGCCAAGACCAAGATGACAGAAAAGTTCGAATAATATGACAAAGGTTTTAAAGCAGACATCATGAAAATGCTTCAAAAAGCAATTACAAATATGCTTG